ACATATTATTTGTTTAAAACTAAAGCATAAAACTACAAATCTAAGATAGAAATAAGTTGCAATAAAATATAAAATGTGACATCCATCTATATATTTAATATTGTTCAAAAGTTAGGCCTTGGGGGCATAATTCCTGATAGGCATGTAACCTGTATGAGTAAGGTGTCATATGAATTTAATAAATAATTATAATTATAAATGTATAAAAATGCAATCATGGTCAATGAAAAATGGAATATGGATACAAACAGGGCTTATATGTAGAATAATTTTAGTGGACACTCAGAAAAATAATTGATAAAAACATACTGAACTATAAAAAAAAATATATCATGCGCATCTGATGAAATGAACTACAGTCTATGAACAATCAATAATATTTTATGCAGCGTCTTGGCCCGGCATCCTCTGAATTACTTGGGTTTGTAAAAGTTGTTCAAAGTATTTACTATCTATCTATGATGGCAGAAAAACACTGCATAGGCACAGCTACAAAAATACATTGTCAAATGCTTCTCAGATGCAAAATAAGGATTAAAAACAGATGGAAAATGTAGGATTGGAAACTGGCATAAGACCATAACACATCATTCCCTCTTATACAAAGCTAAGATGCCATGTCTGATTCCAAGGACTCTTCATTTGATCTTTACCAGCCTAATTCTGCACAATCTTTGCTCCAGCTGCAAGGTGGCAGTCACTAGTGAGTCACATCCTGTACGGGGGCTGAAATATTGACTCATTTTCTATCAAGTTAGTGCAACAAAAACCCTCCAAGGATTTGCTAAAACTGGTCATCAAATAAAAGCTAAAAACTAGTTTCTTCTATTTCTGTCCCCATATTAATCATCATTATTCCATTGCACTTCTTAGATATCCAGAAGGTAGCTTTCAGCAGAAATGTAATTCCGCCTGCAAATCTCAGTGGACATTACATGTAATGAATGGAGTTTAATTCATTTATTTTGGGTTGGCAAATCTTTCTTTACTGAAGACTGAATGGATTCTTACAATGATTGAAATAAAGCCGAAAGAACGTGTTTAAAAGTCCTACATAAAGATTATTTGTTGCAGTAATGGGTTTTTCAGGATCAAGTACCTGATGCTAGAGAAAAAAAATCTCTAAACTGCTAACTTCATAGGATACTTCTTGAATGTATTACTTCAAAAGATGGTCTACTCACTTCAGAAGATACTTCTGGTGAGGTATATATTGACAGCCTAAATTGTAGTTGACTAGTTAAATAATTGATATGTAATTGATTGCATAATTGATTCATAAGAACTGTCATATGGAATCTCTGTTTTAGTTATTCTTCAGGTCAACACAATCTATGGTTATAGATTCAAGAGATCAATTATTAATTTTGATCAAACAATCCTATTATTTATCTGCTGAATATTTTTTTAAAAAAATATTGAACATCAGACCAGTTTCTGTACTCTCTTGATTTATCTTTAATCAGAGATTCCTTAGGCTTCCTTCACTTCCAGTCTCAGTAATATCCAGCCTGTCTGAAGTTGTTCTCCCAACAATTTAATTCCAATTGCTGTTTCTTCTACTCAAGCATTTCTCATCATATAGTCTGCATGTATATTAATTAAACAAGGGGTACAGTGTTTCCCAATTTTGAACAATTTAGTTGTTCTTTATTCAAACTGATGCTTCCTGGTCATCATGCAAATTGTTCAGTAGGCAAACGAAGTGGTCTGATAGACCAGGTTTTTAAGGGTTAGCCAATCTGTTGTGGTCTATGTAAGTGTTTATATACCGTAATCAGTAAACAATGGACATATTTCTTTTTGGATTTCCCTTGTCTGTATTTTCTGAATATAGGATCTGTCAGTTTCCATTCCATGTGTTGTCTACACTGTAAACTCTTGAGCTCTGTCCTACAACATGCAGATTAAGTGCAATTGTTTCATAGTTTTTACCAGAGACCATACTTGGTATTGAAATTTAAATTGTTCTTTTCTATCCCTAGACCACTGCTGTATTTTGCACACCATACAAATCTGTGTCGTTTGGAAAGAGTTTAAACGATTTGATAATAAAATTACTGCAGTTGTTAGCACCATTTTCTAGGGTCCATTTAATTTCATTTTTTAAAATGACCCTCCCTAAATCAATAATCATTCATATCTGTCATTTTTTCCTATAGTTCTTTCATATATTCATACCATCTCTTCTTTCTATCCTCTTCCTAAATATTTGTCTTTTACTGTTCCCATTTTTCCATAAGGTATCTCCTTGGTTTCTGTAATTTTCTTTAACAAACTTCTCTGCTCCTATTAATTAGATTGTTATCCTTCATATTTTTCTATTGCTCATTTAGCTGTACCTTTTTGTGTTTTCCTGTTCCTTTCTGAAATTCAGTATTCTATAAAATGTATTGAATATGAATTTGTTTTGACATCCCCTTTCCTTGTCATCCTTTTACTTGTACTTTGAAGGAGGCAAAATACTTTTAACCTAAATGGCAAACAGCCATTTTGCTTCTTTTCTTTTTTGCACGTCTGGAATTTTGGTTTGCTTCCCCTTTAAGATCTCACCCTTTAAATTTATTACTTTCAATACATTTTCTTAGGGAAATCATGTTGGTTTGATGATTTTCTTTAACTCGTAATTTTTCAAGAAGGCTGAGATCACAAACTCCTTGCAAAATTACAACTTAAAAACATCTTTTCAAGGAGCAAAGAGCTAAAAAAAAATCTAGTGGTATGATTTGAACCACAGGCAGTACTAAATCTTGTTTTTGCTGACTTAATAAAATTCTTCCATTTTTCTTGCAGAGTACATACTGAATTTTATTTTGGTGTCATCCATCTGTTGATGTGGTGTATCAACTCAGCTTTAGGTTGTTGGGAAAAAAGTATTTGCTATAAATATTACATTTTCTTGGCACAACTGTTAGCCTGCTTCATTTTACACATAGAAACGTAATGTTTCCATTATTTCAGATGCTACTTTAGTTCCAACTTTAGCATCCAGTCTCATATAATGAACATGCTGGGGTTTATTTGATATGGTGTTGACAAGTTGCTACAGAACAGTTCAACTTCCCCTTTTTTGTATCTGTGGGTGCAACACAAGGCTTGAATCAACATAATACTCTGATTGGCTTGCCTTGGAATCAAAAATTTGAGCTCATTCTAATTTTTTTGAAATCATCCTTTCATTCTTTTAATCATTCTAACATATCTGACCACTGACTCTGTCACTTGTATATATAATGATGGTTACTTCATTTCTATTATATTTTTCTTGTCTGCAGTAGATCTGATCCTTTCTGCCATTTGAAATTTATTTCAGTTCACTGATTCCCAGAATGTCTGTTTAGTCTTGACATTTCTGCTCTGGCAACATCAGATTTGTCCTGGTTCATGGTTCCAACATTCTATGTATTAGTAATGTGTGTGTCAACTCTGAAGCTGGCCTGGCTGAGCCATTTTGAGACTTCAGCGCTGACATACTGAAGAGGGACAGGGAGAGGGGAATAGAGAGTTGGAGTGTTGTAGCCAAAACAAAATACTTTCTCTTGGGAACCAAGGACATTCCTGCAGGTGCTCAGGAGGAGGAGACTGGAGTCACCTAGCAACTGGACAGTAACCTGATAGGACTATGTGACTGGTTGTTTTGGGAAAGTGAAAAACTTTTACTTTCAATTAGGTGAAAACCGGGGGAATAGTCAGAGTCGGGTTTCACCAGCCTGTGCCAATATGACATATCCAATAAAATTATTATTTGAGGAATCTACCTACCTCAAAGTTTTGTTTGCTATGGGTATGTTATTTGGAACCCTGACAATGTGTATCTTTGCAACATTATCAAACATAGCCTACATGACAGCGTATAGTGTTCTCCCCAGAAACTTGTTGGATACCTTCTGAATGCGGGAGATTTTACCCAGTGTCATGTTGATATTGTCCTCATTGTGAATGTCCATTTGGTTTTCTTGTAAGAATATTGCAGTGGATCTATTCCTTTCTTGAGAGCGCTTTATTTTGTATGATCCTGTTGAATACTTAATTAGGAGTGAGCAAAGGCTCCACTCAGGTCTGCCAGAATGGCGGGAAAATAGTTAAACCTCATTGGCTTAGCCGTCTGACAGCTCCCTATAAAAGGGCAAGCTATCAGACGAGCCAGCCGCTGAGTTGTACCGATCTACTCAATAAAGAGCTGTTCCTTATTACTTCAAGCCACGTCCTGTGTCTTCCATCACCCGATCTAACAGATTCTTTATGGCCAGTGGGGTGAAGAGAAGACTTCTAGGAATAAGAACTCCCAATGATAGTTTGTAATGTCACTGGGATATACAATTCAATTCATTGCATCAGTTCATACTATTTTTCAAGTCCTAAGCATGAAGTCTCATACAGTATTAAACACTGATCTTCTATTTAGAGTATTAATTTAAATTCTGTATTTAAAGAATGCAGCCTACTTAATAAACAGAATCAAATCATTGGCTAAAAATACAGGAAAGTGTTAGGACAATTAAATTTTGAAGGAAACTAATAAGAGTACATCCAAAAGTTTCTCATAGTTGTCACATATAGACTTAGAAGCAGAATATTTTAAAGGGGTCTATGTTTACCAATATTATTTTTTTGTAATGTGTTAAAAAAAAGATATTTTTCATAGCAACCTAAAGAAGAAAACAATGGATAGGTGATTGAAAAATATATGTTTTAAAGAGATGTTATGAATAAAGGTAAAGTTAGATGACATTTTAGTTCGCTATCAGAAGGATTGGGAAATAGAGGCAAGTGATATAACATAGGTCCTTGCAATTTTGCACCGTACAGCTCTTTGACTGTTGTTTTTTTAATAATAAATTGATGGTGCCATACAAAGCTCTCATTATTACAAACAAAGGGTACAATCAAGGTTAGAAAAAAAGCATAAGCATTCCGGGAAAGAAGAATGGATGCTTTTTTCTTCTAAGGTAATGTTATTCAATAATAGTCATGGTAATACCAACAATCATGATAATTACCTTTGCAGATTCATAATCAGATTTCCCGAGCAGGTCTTGATTTTGTTTTGTGCTTCCAGATGAGTCATACTTTCCGCACTTATCCCATCAATGCTAAGGACCACATCACCTATTCCGACGTTTGCATTAGCTGCTTTGCCTCCATCACTCAACTGCAAAATCACAGTAATGTAAAAGCATTATTCGTTTTCATTCACATTCTAAGAACGGAGTCATGAGAGCCAACAGGAAGAATTACAAGCATTTCAAAGTGAAATAAACTTTGAAAAGAATACTGTATTCTTATAATGAATCTACCTTATAGAAAAGGAATAAGATCCTCCTCGGATGGAGGGAACAGTGAATGGAATCAACCAGGTTCAAATGTTGTACTAAGCCACAAGTATCAAACTCGCCATGTCACGTTGCCGTCATGTGATGTTTCGTGATGTTTTTCCCATTCGCAGAGCTGGGGTGGGTGTGGCCTGCGCGTTACACATCCAACCCGTGGGCTCCCAGTTTGACACCCCCGTACTAAACCAAAACCTAATCTATTCAGTTCTACCTAAGGTTGTTTGATGAAACCAGCCCAGTGGTCTGGAATAGCTCAGTTTACTTAATTTACAATGTTAAACTAATCAGTTATGGGTTATAAATAAGTCACAGTTCATCCATCACACAGTACTCAATACAAACTGCATCTGCATACATTTTAAGGACTAATAATCTTGGCATAATTTTCTAATGAAAACCATACTCAAGAACCTAAGTTTCAAATACAAATTTATAGAAGACATTTTAGCAAACAATCCATGTTTTAAGAACAATAAGCTGAACTAGGAGGCTGGGCAGTGGTGGATTTCAAATTTTTTTACTAGTGGTTCTGTGGGCGTGGCTTGGTGGGTATGATGTGGCTTGGTGGGCGTGGCTTGGTGGGCGTGGCAGGGGAAGGATACTGTAAAATCTCCATTCCCACCGCACTCCAGGGGAAGGATATTATAAAATCTCCATTCCCTCCCCAATCCAGGGTAAGGTTACTGCAAAATCCCCATTTCCTCCCAATCAGCTGGGACTTGGGAGGAAAAGAATAAATGGGGGCGGGGCCACTCAAAATTTCCGCTACCGGTTCTCCAGAACTGGTCAGAACCTGCTGAAACCCACCTCTGAGGCTGGGTTATCAATAATGATCAAATTGGAAATGAACGTATTAACAAACATATAAACTCGTTGCCCCAGTTAGCAACCACAACCATCTAGGTTGTGTAAATCTATTACTGTGGGTACCAGCAATTTCATGTACATCCTAAGAAAAGTCAACCTTATGATATCAGGATCTCAGTAGTAGATTTCCAGAGGCAAGCAATGCCCTTATTTATTAATTACAGTTGATGTACAAAATATATCGCAAAATACAATAAAGTACAACTTGATCATGGCAATCATATAATTATCACAGGATTTGATATAACACAACTCATAATTGCGGGACTTGCATGTTAAATAAATAAGCAGAAACGGAAGACTACAAGTTCTTGATTATTTTGCACTGGGTTCAGAAAAAAATCCCAATTAGACCAGCAGCCCCAACCTTTTGGGCCCCAGGGACCAGTTCCATGGAGAGAGGTTTTTCTGCAGACTGGAAGGGGCATGGTTTCGCATGCTGCATGCATCCTGCGGATGGGGCTTTGTTTGCTTACGTGGCCTGGGTTTCTGGCATGCCGCGGACCGGAGGTTGGGGACCCCGGAATTAGACAACTTAGTTGTTTAAGAAAAGCTCCAAGGAGTCCCAATGTTTTCAGCTTGCATATAGAAATTGGCTATTAAGATGTGAATTAACTCACTGAAGATAATTACTGCATCTTGTATTCCTTCTCCATGGAGCTCCTTGAACTGACCAAAAGTTTGAGGAGGATCAGATTGGAGTATTGGAGAAAGGAAGAGTAGAAACATCCTTCTTGTAAATTTTCTTCAGCCAACTAATTATAAAACTGTCTGATTTTGGACATGTATCTTCTCCTCTACTAAGGGTATTTACGTGCACAATATTTCTTCCAAAAGGTAACTTTCCAGAGAAGATTTATAGATAGAGCAAGAACAGCTGAGGGAATGCAAACATTCCTTTGTAAATTCCTTTAAGTTTACTTATCTTAGGATCTAAGCCAGATAAAATTGTTATTTCACATAACAGTTCATTTGGTTGGTATCAAAACCCTAAGTATAAAACTAAACCTCTTCGACAATAAACCAAAATTAAATGTCCTGTTTCAAATACATTTTTTTCCTTTGAACTTGAGTTGATCTTCTCATGTCTTATATTTGTACAATACAAAAATACAAAGTTATTTTAATTTTTTTTCATTCAAACCAGATACGAGTGAGAAAAATGGTATTTTCCCACTACTTTAGAACTTGCCATTTCAGACTACACAAAAAGTATATATATTATTTATTTACCGGAGTTTATATGCCAGTTCCAATCCAATGTATACTGGGCAAACTGGATTAATTTTAGGATTTGAGTAAAGCATTCTAACACAAGAAAAGAAAAAACGCTAATGATCACCAATATAACATAATAATATATAATAACAGAAACCAGCCTTCTATGCAGTATGGATATTATGAAAGATTCTAACCAAATTATTCACATCTGCAGACAATACTACAGACTCTTTGGCTAAGAAATGAAATAGTACAAGTTCAAGCAGCAAATAAATGAATGGTATCACCATACAAAAACTTTAAATGAAAGGAAAAATTGAAAAAACAGATTATCCTTTCCATGCAGACTGCCAATGTGAGATTTACTTCCTACTATATCATGCATGGGCTCCTATCCTATCTAATTTCAAGTATGGTTCATGGGCTTTTTGTTTACTTAAAAACATTATAGTGCCATAATGAGACACAGAACTTACTGGTGAGAATGTAATTACTGTATCCTATTTTTTAAAAAAACTATTTTATCTTTCTTTTGAAAAAAGGCATTCAATTGCTCAACAATTATATCTGTTGTTTTAGCTACCATTCATGTAATAACAATTCATGTTGGATTCCAGGTCTTTAATTTTGCCAATGTATTTGTACTTTATCCATGATCATAAATTACGTTTATTTTTCTTAAAGTTCTTCTTTCTGCATTTCTGGGCTCCAATTCATGAGGCCACTGGAAACCTTCAGACCGCAAACTAACCCTGAATTACATAGGACACGGGCCACAGGAATGTCACATATGTCTAGTCAGACTTAAATATTTTTTATTTACTTACAATGGTAGTACATCCAAATGCATGCTAATAAAATATCTAAACGGTCCATGTTTTGGCATTAACAAATCCACTAACTTACCCTAAAAGGGTGTTCAGATTTGGTCCATATTCCAAATACAAACCAAACTATAATCAGAAAAGATGTGTTGCCAAGCTGATTTAAATCAGTTTCCATCACATGCCCAAATACTTTCTAATGTTTTCTGAGGTTTTCGCAGGTGTTTGTATGTAGGTCTTTGGTTATTCGGGTTTTCTCCCGCGTAGAATTGGCAGTGTCTTGGCGACGTTTCCACGAAGTCTCATTTGTCATCTTCAGGCAGGTGTTTTCGGCTTCGTGCTTCTAGTAGCACAAAGCCGAAAACACCTGCCTGAAGATGACGAATGAGACTTCGTGGAAACGTCGCCAAGACACTTCCAATTCTACGCGGGAGAAAACCCGAATAACCAAAGACACACATATATATATGTGTGTATGTGTGTGTGTGTGTGTGTATGAGAAGAGCAAGCAGAGAGGACTCAGCCTAGAATCATTAAGGTAAAATTAAAGGTTCTCCTCGCACATATGTGCTAGTCATTCCCGACTCTAGGGGGCGGTGCTCATCTCCGTTTCAAAGCCGTAGAGCCAGCGCTGTCCGAAGATATCTCCATGGTCATGTGGCCGGCATGACTAAATGCCAAAGGCGCATGGAATGCTGTTACCTTCCCACCAAAGGTGGTCCCTATTTTTCTACTTGCATTTTTTACGTGCTTTCAAACTGCTAGTTGGCAGAAGCTGGGACAAGCAACATGTCCACAAATGCACCAAGTCTACCCCCACTTGAATTCTATTAATTTTTATCTAGCGCCCATTTACTGCCGTTCATTAATTGACCAGACTCTTGTGCATAGCCTTGAGCAATAACTCTTCTGAACTGGGGACAGACAAGGAATAATGGCTGGAAACTGATCAAGGAGAGATTCAACCTAGAAATAAGGAAAAAATTTTCTGACAGTGAGAACAACCAACCAATGGAACAGAAGTTGCCTTCAGAAGTTGTGAGAGCTTAATCACTGGAGGCTTTCAAGAGTCTGGAACGCTGCCATTTGTCAGAAATGATGTAGGGGTCTATGATGTAGGAGTCTCCTGCTTGGGCAGGGGGTTGGACTAGATGATCTACAAGGTCCCTTCCAACTCCGTTAATCTGTTTATGAATATTTTCTCATAAGGGAACCTGGATTCATACAACCAATTTATTCAGCCCAAAATTATCGAACTAACAAAGAGATGTCAACAATAGGAAAGTACAGGAAAATGGTGATCATAATCGTGCAATGATTTGGGTGCCTTAATCCAATGTTCCTTGTTGTCTGTTAATATTTTTGGTGGCCCGTATTTAATTAAGCAGATAAGCTTTGCCTACTTGCTACTTAGCCACTATCAACCATAAAAGGAGTTGATAGAACTGGGAAAAAAATTAGGGATTCCCATTATTTAATTCAAGACTTCAAAACATCAACCCAACTGTTCCTGAAAACCTCTACCAAAGGTTGCCCTACTCATTCGATACTTATTTCTACTGCTGGACTGCTAGGATATTCAAGACAATTTTCCTGAAATTCCACTGTCTTAGGTCCATTACATTTATGTATCTTTGGTTCATTACATTTCATCAAGGAGCAGATAACTGTCCTTTATTTTCTGCTGGGACTTTGCTTATTGAAAGAGGTACTGTTATTTTCCCCTTCTGTCTGAAACGAATCTCATTGATTCTGTGCATTTGAAGTACACTGGCTTTTAGACCGTTTGAAAACTGTGGGATACTTAAAGCAACTCGTTCACATGATTGTGTCTATCGCACAACATATTCAGATTTACTGCTATCGGTGTTTGTTCCTTTTAGTGAGCACATGCTGCTTTTTGGCAA